CTCGTTAGAGAGCATCACTGACTCGTTCAAAAGCTCTCGGCGCGAATGTGAGCGCAGGTCACGAGTATCCGATGCAGAACACTCAGCTCCCGGGTCATTTCTTCCCCATGTCCATGGTCGGCCCTCCGCCGCGAGGCTACGGCATGCCTGGAAGCGCCGCGCCGCACGGCGCGCTGATGCTGAATCCGTACGCTTCCCCCTACGCGCCGCCTCAATCGGCGCAGCACCCCTCCGCCGCGGCCTTCGAGGCGCAGAAGGAAGCGCAGGAGGCCAAGGATGCCATGCTCGACCACCTCATCAAGAAGCACGAGGAGCTTGTCAAGGAGGGCGACAGCGGCAGCGACTTCGCGCGCGAGCTCCGCCAGCAGCGACTCGCAAAGCTCAAGGCACAGATCGGCAAGGCGATGAGCGAGCCGGACGCGCCGCCCGCGCCGCCCGCGCCGCCCGCGCAGCAGCTCTTACTGGCGCCATTCGCGCACCTGGGCGGGCCGCCGCCCATCCTCGCGCGCGCGCAGCCGCCGACCTCGGCGGCCGCGACGCCCCCGCCGCCGCCGCGGTTCGTCGGGCCCGCGCAGCCGCCGGCCGCGGCGGCCGCGCCGACGCCGGCCGCGCGCGCGCCCTACGCGCGCGCGCCGTCGCCGCCGGCCTTCAGCGAGATCTCGAGCCAGTTCGGGGACGACGCTGTGCCGGCCTTCGCGCCGAGCGAGGGCGACGACGACGCGCCGCGCAGCGAGGGCGGCGACGCCGCGCCGCCGCTGCACAGCGAGGGCGGCGACGCCGCGCCGCCGCTGCACAGCGAGGGCGGCGACGCCGCGCCGCCGCTGCACAGCGAGGGCGGCGACGCCGCGCCGCCGCTGCACAGCGAGGGCGACGACGCCGCGCCGCCGGCGCGCAGCGACGACAACCCGCGGCCGGCCGTCCGGCCGCGCCTCGAGGTCGAGGCCGCGGCGCCGGCGCCCCCGGGCGGCGAGCCGCCGGCGTGGGCCGAGGGCGTCGAGAAGTTGCTCGCGGTCGTGAAGAAGATGCCCGAGGGGGGGCAGAAGAAACGGTCCATGCTCCAGATGCGAGGGCCTCTCCAGCAGCTCAAGTGGAAAGTCGGCAACGTCCACGGCGGCACGACGTATTACGACACGTCGCCGCCCGAGACGTGGCCCGCGTACTACGACCTCGTCGGCTGCGAGTACCTCTCTTCGAATAACACGGAGGTCGCGCGGTCCATGGTGCAGCTCGTCAAGTACGCCGAGCGCGCGTCGGACCGCGCGCGGCGCGGCGTCGCGACGCGCCTCGAGCGCGACCGGCGGCTCCAGCTTGGGGCGGAGAAAAGCGCGAGCCGCGCGCTGGCCGTCACGCGACGCGTCGCGCTTCGGTCGCTCCTCGCTCGCTTCGGAGCCGACGCGGCGTCCCGCGTCTCGGCGTTCCTCTACGCGGAGCCGACGGACGACGACGACTCCGAGTCCGAGGACGAGGACGAGGCCGCGGCGCCCGTCCGCGTGCCCGGCGTCTTCTTAACCGGCGATTTGGCGAAGCTGAGCGGCGGCACCATCGTCAAGGTGCTATCGTCGACGCGGTCCTCTTCGGAGGTCGAGTACGTCTCGATGTGGGCGGGCTTCAAGAAGAACGTCCCCACCAAGGATTTGAGCCCCGTGGACATGTCGTCGCGGACGACGCGGGGCCGCGGCGCCGCGCCGGAATTCGAGACGCGCGTCAAGCGCCTCGAGGTCGGCAGCCGCGTCTGCGTGCGCTTCTCGACGGGCGAGGGGTTCCCGGGCAAGGTCGACGCCATCGGCGACAAGTACCGCGTCCTGTTCGACGACGGCGACGACCGCCAGCTGTCTCGCGTCTACCTGGAATCCAATCTGTTGCCCTCGCCCGAAGGTGGCCGCAAGAGCCAAGGCGGTGACACGCCGTCGAGCTGGCGCCAGACCGCCGCTTCGAAGAAGCGCGGCCGCGGCCGCCCGCGCAAGGCGGCCCCGGAGGAGCCGTCGCCCGCGCCGGAGCTGTCGAGCCTGCGCCCCGGCAGCCGCGTCGCCATCTCTCGGTTTGTCCCCGGTGTTGCGAACGAGAGCCTCAACGGCAAGCGCGGCGTCGTCGTCAAGGACCGCGGCCTCGTCAAGAGCAGCAACGGCAAGGTCTCCCACCGCTTAGACGTCAAGCTCGAAGATGGCTCCGTGGAGCGATTGATTTCGACGTACAATCTTGACGTCATCGTCGACGAACCTTCTCCGAATGTCGTCGCGCCCAAGCCGCCTTCTTCGCAGCTCGCCGTCGGAAGCCGCGTGCGCATCTGCGGCTTCAAACCGGCCAACGCCAACTTCGCGCTCAACGGCCAGCGCGGCGTCGTCGTCAAGGACCACGGCGTCGTCGCCGTCCACTACAAATCTCGCCACCGCTTCGACGTCCGGCTCGACGGCGGCGGCGCGCTGAGCCAAAAGATCTCCAAGTGGAACCTGAAGCTCATCGACGACGACGACGACGACGACGCCGCGACCTGCGACTTCGAGGCTCCGCCCGACGCGCCCGCGGCCGACGACGAGCCCGTCGAGCCCGCGGAGAGCGAGGCCTTCGTGACGGCCGTGTCGGATCTGCGCGTCGGCGACCGCGTCTGCGTGCGCATCGATGGCGCCGTGACGCCGGGCTCGGTCTGGGAGCTCCACGACGGGGGCTTCGAGCTGAGCCTCGAAGACGGCGACCACCTCTTCCTCACCGCCGCGCAGCTCGAGCAGAACCTCGTGTCGTCCCGCGACGAGACCGAGGCGTCGCCGTTCGGCGAGGGCGACCGCGTCCTCGTCTCCAAATTCGGCGCCACGTCCGAGAACTACTGCCTCAACGGCGGATTGGGGACCATCTTCAAGGATCTCGGTTGCGTCGGCGCGCCCAAGCGCAAGTCCGGCTCCCGGTCCGGCCACCGCGCGCAGCGCTACGACATCCACATGGACTCCGGCGTGCTCGTGCCGGGCATCGCCGTCTACAATCTCACGCGCACCGACGAGCCCGCGCCCGAGATCGAGCCGGAGCCGCTCAACCCGGCGCTCGCCGTCGGCAAGCGCGTGAAGCTCTGCCGGTTCCCGTCGGCCAACGCCGCCCTCAACGGCGAGCGCGGCGTCGTCGTCGAGGACCGCGGCCTCGTCGAGGAGCGCGGCACGTCCTGCCACCGCCTCGACGTCAAGCTCGACGGCGGCATGCTCTGCGCGAAGCTCGCGGCCTACTACCTCAAGCCCGTCGACGGCGACGGCGACGCGCCGCCGCCGAAGCGCGCGCGCCAGCAGCCGCCGCAGCCGCCGGCGAGCCCGCTCGCGGCCGACCTCGACGGCGCGGCGGGCTGGTCCGACTTCCCCGAGCTCCCCGCCGCGTCGCCGGACGGCCCGCTGCCCGGCCTCGTCGCCTCGTGGTGGTGAACATTCCAAGAACGCGCCGCGGCCCGACGCCGCGACGCCCTGTCCCCTTGTTTGTAATGCCTGTTCGTGTAATTCTATCGAAGGAAGCGCGGCCCGTCGTCGCCGGCCTCGCGCATCCGCCGCACGTACACCGGCAGCTTGAGCTTCTTGCGCACGAGGGTCTCCAGCGACGCGTAGTCCGGCCGCGCGTCGAGCGGGTCCTCGTGCAACGGGAGCGGCGTGCCCTCCGTGATCATGTTCTGCCCGTCGAACTCGGCGTCGTCGACGTAGAACGCGCGCCAGCCGCGGTCGTACTCGTGGACGAGGCGCACGTCCTCGGAGCGCACGGACAGCTCCGCGCAGCAGTACGTCGTCGGGAACTTGTCGGCGAGCTTCGCCGCGGACCCGAAGAAGCTCTTCGTCTTAGCCGCGCCGCGCTTGAACAGGCCCAGGTCCGCCGGCGTGCTGAACTGGGGGTTGAAGAGCAGCAGGGGCCGCGGGCCGACGGCGCGCTCCACGTCCACGAGGTCGTCGAACGTCTCGCTGCCCGCGAAGACGATCATCATCGCGTCGTCCTTGGGCGTCTCGCCCTGGCAGTACAGTTGGACGACGCCGTCGTCCGCGGAGAGCACGCGCTCCTCGATGGCGCCGCCGCCGACGACGGCGCCCTTCAAGAGGTCGCGCGCGATGGGCAGCGCCACGGTGCACATCTGCTTGAGGCCGCCCGGCCAGGGGTCGAGGTCCTCGGGCTTCACCGTCGGCAGCAGCGGCACGAACATCTCCACCGTCTGCCGCGTCTCTCCCGCGGCGACGGCGGCGCGCACGGACCGCGCGGCGGCGTAGACCATGGCGTTCGTCGACATGGGCATGGAGATGTCATCAGCGGCGGCGCGCAGCGGCCGGCCGCGTGCTGGTGGCTGCATGAATGCATGCCTCGAGAAGATGTCGTCGCCGCCGTCGGCGGCGGCGCGCAGCGGCTGGCTGCGTGCTGATGGCTGCATGAATGCATGCCCCGAGACGACGAGCAGTGCGAGCCAGGCGGTGCGGGCGGAGTCCAGCATGGCAAATCCTCCACGCATCGTGAGCTGGCAAGGCAAGTTGAAGAGATGCTGAAGGTCAACGCCGACATTTCTTGTGGCAATACAATGATCCGGCTGAGCCTGAGGCCGAGCCTCTGAAAACTCCGACTCCCGCGGTTCCTCCCCGGCCCCCCTACGTTTAGAGACGCGTCAAGGCAATACAATGTTGCGAGCTCGAGCGGTCGCGACACGACCGTGGACGCGACAGACAAGCCGCAAACTCCTCCACTCCAAGTCCCAGCAACAGACCGCGACGCGCCTGCGCCGTCTCGTGGGCGTCTCGCTGCAGAACGGCCGCCAGCAAGACAAGCTGCTGCGGCGGTTGTCGGCGCTCTGGGAGCGGCGGCCGGCGGCGGAGCGCGGCGACTTTTGCCGGAGCCTCGCGGCCTTTGGGACGAGCGACGACGCCGTCGCGCGCGCCGCAGACCTCATCGAACGAGCGCGGACGCACGACGCGGGCGCGCGCGAGGCCGCGCTGCTCGAGGCGCGGGCCGCTCTGAAGCCGGCGTACGAGGCGCTCGCCGAGGGTTTGGCGGAGTCCGCGGGCGGCGCAAGGCTCCTCCTCGAGATCCGCGTCGCGGCGCTCGCGCTCGCGCGGCGCGAGCCGCCCGTCGCCGCCTTGGAGGCGCACCTGCGCGCGGTGCTCGCGGCGCGCTTCGCGCCGTGCAGCTTGCGCCTGGACCGCGTGTCCTGGACGGGCACGCCGCCGCCCGTGCTCGAGCGCGTCGTCGCCGCCGAGGCCGTGCACGCCATCGACGACTGGCCGGCGCTCAAGCAGCGCCTCGGGCGGAACCGGCGCGTGTTCACGCTGTCGCACGCCGCGCTCGGCGGCGAGCCTCTGGCCGTGGTCGAGGTCGCGCTCGGCGGCGAGGTCGCCGCCTCGATCCAGGGCCTGCTCGCCGAGGACACCTGGGCCGCCTCCGAAACCCCCGCGGTGTCGAGCGCCTTCGCGTCCGGCGGCGGGCCGCCGCCCGACGCGGAGGAGCCGACGTGCGCGATCTTCTACTCGATCTCGGCGACGCAGCCGGGCCTCGCGGGCGTCGACGTCGGCGCGCGCCTCATCCGTGGCGCGGCGGCGACGCTCGCCTCCGAGCACCGGACCCTGAAGCGCTTCGTGACGCTGAGCCCCATCCCCGGCTTCCGGCGCTGGCTCGAGGCCGAGGCGCCGCGCGACCTGGTCGACGCCGCCGCCGCCGCGGCCGCGGCCGCGGGCGACGCGGCGACGACGGCCAACGGCGCGCGGGTCGACGACGCGCTCTTCCGGCGGCTCGCGCCCTGGTGCGCGCGCTACGTGCTCGACGAGCGGCGGAAGCGGCCGCACCTCGCGGCCGCGGGCGCGCTCGACGCCGTCGCGCACTTCCACCTCGGCAACGGCGCGCGCTTCGCGGGCCTGTCCTGGCGCGGCGACGTCTCCGACGCGGGCCTCCGGCGCAGCTTCGGCCTCATGGCCCACTACGAGTACGACCTCGCGGCCCTCGACGCGCGGGCCCAGGCCTACGCGGACTCGGGCGAGCCGGGCGTCCGCGCGGGCGCGCGGGACGCGCTCGCGTAGCACCCAAAATTAGACGACGTCCTTGAGCAGCGTCGCCTTCTCCGTCGGCGGCAGGGACACGGCCGCCGTGAGCTGCCGCTCCTCGGGCGGCTTGACCTTGCGGAAGACGACGAGCAGGGCCAGGTCGTAGGCGCTCTTCGCGAGCCCCGCGAAGACGAGCGGCGCCGCGGGCCCGCGCGCGCGCCAGAGCGCCGCGGCGCAGGGCGGCCCGAGGACGCAGGCGACGGCCCGGGCGATCATGATCGTCCGCGAGCAGGCGACGCGCTCGTCGCGCGGCACGACGCCCGTCATGAACGATTCGCGCGCGGGCACGTCCATCTGCGACAGCAGCCCGCGCACGAGCACGAGCCCGTAGACCTGGTACTCCGTGCAAGAGGGGATCGCGACCAGACAGAGATTGCTCGGGAGGTGCGTGAACACCATCGTGTTGATGAGACCGACTCTCTTGCTCAGCGCCGCGGCGACGGGGAAGGAGAACGACGCGATGACCTGGTTCGCGAAGAAGAGCGTCCCCAGCGTCTTCGCGTAGCCGTCGCCGCCGTAGCGCTCGCTGAGCCAGTGCGCGAACAACGCGTTGATGACGAAGCCGCCGGCCCAGGAATCGAAGGAAAACAGCGCCGCCAGCGACAGGATCCGCCGCCGCATCGTGCAGTCCGCCAGGCGCTTGTCGTCCGCGGGCGCGGGCGCCGCGACGCCCGCGGCGGCCTCCACGCGCCGGAGCCGCGCGGCGGCCGCGAGCGCCGCGCACGCGTAGCAGGCCGCCGTGGCGAGCACCGCCGCGCCGGCGACGCTCGCCTCGGCCGCGGGGCTCGCGGGCGCGGACGCCGCCAGCGCGCCGAGCGCGAGCGCCGCCGTGCTCAGGCTGTTGTACCAGGCGAAGACCTTCGTTCGATCCGCGTCCGACGCGCCGTCGGCGAGCGACGCGTGCTCGAGCGGCGCGTGCGGCGAGATGTTCGGCTGCAGACTCATCGCGCCCAGAAACGCCGCGGCCTCGGGCGGCAGCGGCGACGCCGGCGCGACGACGCCGACCGCCGCGGCGCCGAAGAGCAGCGAATACGCGGCCAGCGCCCAGAGCCGGTTCCGGACCCTCGCGCCGGGGCCGAGCGCGACGAGCAGCGTCGCGCCGCCGAGGCCCGCGGACAGCACGTAGGCGATGCGCGCCGTGCCGAGGGCGTTGGCCTCGAGCGCCAGGGGGAGGGCGATGCCGAGCGCGCCGAGCGCCAGCGACCGCACGGACCGCGTCGCGAGGAGGACGACGCGCTCGGAGAGCATATTATGGATTTGTGGCAAGTTATGGCTCCTATGGCAGCGTTTTTCGCAGCGGTGGCAGCTGCGGGCTTGAAGGAGCTAGAGGCGGCGGCACTAGCGGCGTTGTTAGCAGTAGAGGCACGGCGGTGCGGCTAGCTCTGGCTGGACACGAACTGGACGACGGCTGCGAGGAGCTGCTCCACATCGGCATCATCAGCGGCTCGCTGAACGACAGCGGGCAAAGTGCATCGATCGCGGAGCGGGCTGAGAGCTGCTGCCGTCGTTCGGCACCCGCAGCACACGCAAACAGCCACACACAACACCTTCGACGCCATGTCCGAAGCGCCGACGCCGCCCGGCGACGCGAAGAAGAAGAAGGTGCGGCCCGGCCCGCCGCCGCCGCCCGTGGGCATCGCCACGGCGTCGATCGTCGCGCGCGTCGCCGCGAGCGAGGTCTTCGGCCTCTGGCCGTCGGGCGCCATGGCGGGCCTGCAGCCCGTGTGGACGACGGAGCCCGGCGCCTGCAAGCTCACGCTGGACCTCACGAAGTCGTCGCTCGACCCCTTCCCCAAGGACCCGGCCGCGCACGCGGAGCTCGTGGACCTCGTGCAGGCCGCGCTCGACGCCGCCGTCGCCGCGGACGCGCCGCTCCGCGCCGCCGAGGTCGCGCGGAGCGACGCCGAGGCGGCCTGCGCCGGCGCCGGCGCGCCGTTCTACGACAACGGCGGCGCGAGGCCAAAAAAGGGCGCGGCGGACGACGACGCGGTGCGCTGCGCGACCTACGGCGGCTTCCTCGTCGAGGCCGCCTTCGACGTCGCCGCCTCCGCCGGCGCCTGCGGCCGGATCGCCCTCGTGGGCCGCGAGGGCGACGGCAAGAAGAAGCCCGACACGATGGTGCTCCTGGCGGGCAAGAAGAAGCAGCTCACGCTCAAGTTCGCCGTGGCGGCGCCGGAGGCCGCCGCGGCGCCCGTCGCGACCTGGGACGCCGGCGCGGCGGCGGCGGCGGCGGCGGCGTGCGCGGCGGCCTACGCGGAGGCCGCGGCGGCCGCGGCGTCGCGGACGATCGAGGCGACGAAGCCCAAGAAGGCCGAGGCCGTCGAGAAGGAGGAGGCGTCGACGGAGATGGTCGTCGACCCCTTTAACGTGTCGGGCAAGATCGACTACGACAAGCTCATCGACAAGTTCGGGTCGACGCTGCTGACGCCGAGCCTCCTCGACCGCCTCGGCAACCTCGCGCGGAAGCGCGGCATGAAGCTCCACCGCTTCCTGCGCCGGGGCATCTTCTTCAGCCACCGCGACCTCGAGAAGATCCTGACGGCGGCGGAGACGGGCCAGGGCTTGTACTTGTACACGGGCCGGGGGCCGTCGTCGGCGGCGATGCACCTCGGCCACCTCGTGCCGTTCCTCATGACGCGGTGGCTCCAGGCGGCGCTGGGCGTGCCCCTCGTGGTCCAGATGACCGACGACGAGAAGTTCCTCTGGAAGGGCGAGTACGACGAGGCCGCGGGCGACTACGACCTCGACCGGTTCCGCGCGCTGACCGTGCAGAACGCCAAGGACATCATCGCGTGCGGCTTCGACAAGGACCGCACCTTCATCTTCTCCGACGTCGACTACATGGGCCACATGTACCCCAACGTCTGCAAGATCTGGAAGTCCATCACCTACAACACCGCGCGCGCGGCCTTCGGCTTCGAGGGCAGCTCGAACGTCGGCCAGTCCGCGTTCCCGGCGATCCAGGCCGCGCCGTCCTTCCCGTCGACCTTCAAGGTCCCGCTGGGGAACCGGGACGACCTGGCCTGCCTCATCCCCTGCGCCATCGACCAGGACCCCTACTTCCGCGTCACGCGCGACATCGCGCACAAGATCGCGCCGAAGAGCCACCCGTTGAAGGGCAAGCCCGCGCTGATCCACTCCAAGTTCTTCCCGCCGCTCCAGGGCGCCATGGGCAAGATGTCGTCCTCCGACGACAACAGTGCCATCTTCCTCACGGACGACGACGCGACGATCGAGCGGAAGATCATGACGCACGCGTTCTCCGGCGGCCGCGAGCGGGGCGGGAAACGAGTGATTCAAGTTCGCTTCAACATGAGTGTTCCGCGCGCGCGCGTTCCGGCAAAAGCATCCACGCTTCGAGACCGTTCCGAGAGATGATCGCTCGTCCAAAAATTAGCCGAAACGAGTGGAAAACGATCGAGATATGAGCCTCCAAAGTTGGGAATTTCGCACCCTTTTCCTGCCCAGGCCGCGAGACCGCGAAGCTCCAGCGCGAGCTCGGCGCGGACCTGGAGGTCGACGTCGCCTTCCAGTGGCTCAAGTTCTTCCTCGAGGACGACGGCGAGCTCGCGTCCATCGAGGCCCAGTACGGGAGCGGCTCCGGCGACTACTGGAACACGGCCGCGGTGAAGAAGCGGCTCGTCGTCGAGCTCCAGGGGCTCGTCAAGGACCACCAGGCGAAGCGGGACGTGCTGACGGACGCCGACGTGGCGTCGTGGATGGCCGTGCGGGAATTGGCGCCCGCGCTCTAGGTGAGCATAAGGTTACGCCTCCTGCGACGGCGCGAGGACGCCGTCGAGGTAGTTCGCGATCGCGTCGTCGTCGAGCGAGCGTTCCGAGACTTGTTCCGACGGCGGCGGCGAGAGCGGCGCGGCGACCGGGTCCGGCGGCGCGACGGCGTCCGGCTGGCAGGGGTTCGCCGCGAGATCCTGGCCGAGCATGAGGAGGCCGTGGTACCACGACGTCGGCGACGGCGCCGGGCGCCGGTTCCGCGGGGGCTCGCTCGGCGCGCGCGCCTTCTTGGGCACCCACGCGCGCTGCCGCGGCGACGGCCGCGGGTCCTCGACGACGTGGTCCTCGAGGAGGACGACGGTCTCGTGGTCGTCGCGGGCCTCGGGCCGCGACGCCCGGGGCGCGCGGGGCCCGGGCGGCGTCGACGCCGCGCGCGCGGCGGGCTTCGCGGGCCGCGCGGCCTTCTCCCGGACGAGGCTCGACGCGCCGCGCGTCGGCGACCCGCGGCCCGACGTTTGCGGCGCCGTCGGCGTCGGCGGCTCCGGCGTCGGCCGGGGCCGCGCGTCCTTGAGGGGCCGCCGCGACCGGCGCGGCGACGGCGGCCCCGAGCACGCCTCGTAGGTCCCCGCGAGCGGCGGCATCGCGTCGCCGTCGTCGACGTGGTTCGCGAGGGCGTACTCCGGCGCGTCGGCCTGCAGGGCCACGGTGTCGACGCCGCGGGCCCCCTCTTCGCCGTCGTCGTCGGACGCGCCGAAGATGGAGTAGTTGAAGAAGCAGCCCGCGAAGACGTCGTCGCTCTCCTCGACGACCTCGCGGACGACGGGCACGGCGTCGTCGAGGATCTGCCGGCGCTGGTGCGCGTGCTTGAAGGCCGCGCCGTAGGCCTCCGTCGCCGCGAGCCGCTCGCGGAGCGCCTCGTTCTCGCGCCGCAGCTTCTCGAGCTCGCCGACCGGCTCGCGGCGCAGCGCCTCGCACTCCGCCTCGAGCCGCTCGACGTCCCTCTTCGACGCGAGGAGCGCCGCGCGGCTCTTCGACGCGTCGCGCCGGTCCGCGCGCGCGGCCCGGACGGCGGCCCGCGCGCGCGTCGCGCGCAGCTTGCACTGGAGCGCGAGCACCGCGCGTTGCAGCGCGTAGAAGAGGCCGCCGCGCCGCGCGTCGCCGCGGCGCCGGAAGCGCTGGATCTTGCGCGCCGCGAGGCGCCGGCGCCGGGCCCGGATTCCGAGGCGCGTCCGCCGCGCGCGGACGAGGCTCTGCGCGACCGTCGCGGCGCCCCTCGCGCGGCGCAGGGACCGCCGCGGCTCCCGCGCGCGCGCGGCGGCGGCGATGGCCGTCGCGGCCGCGACGCGTTTCCGGAGCGCGCGCCGCCGCGCGTACTGGAGCGCGAGGGCGACGGTGCGCCGCGCGCGGAAGCGGACCCGCTGCGCCGCGCGGCGGACGAGCGCCTGCCCCCTGGCCGCCGCCTCGAAGAGGTTCGCCGCGCGCTGCTCCTCGAGGGCCTCGTAGGCCTCCATGGTCAGGAAGACCTTGCGCTTCCCGAGGCAGACGCGCCGCCCCCGGAGCGTCGCCACGAGCTCGCGCGCGCGCCTCGCGGCGTCCGCGGCGTCCGCGGGCGGCTTCACGGACAGGGGCATGAGCGTGTTGTAGTAGCGCGCGACGAAGGGCTCGTGGAGGACGCGCACGGGGTAGCCCGCGCGCGCGACCTCGACGGCCGCGAGGACGCCGCAGTACCGGAGCTGCTGCAGGAGCCGCGGCGCGTCGAAGACGTCCGGCGCGAGGTCGTCGTTGGGCTTGAGGCACCGCACGAAGTGGGGCCGCGTCGCGCGGATCTCGCCGAGGAGCGCGCCGAGCGACGCCTTGAAGCGAGCCGCGAGCGTGCCGAGCGCGAGCGTCGACCCGCGGCGCCGGGGCTTCGCGCGCGGCGACGGCGCGCCGACGCCCGCGGCCGCGCGGACGACGGCCAGCGACGAGCTCGCGAAGAGGCCCGCGGCGTTCGACGGCAGCGCGTCCGCGTTCTTCGCGACGAACCCGTCGACGGCGTACTCGACCTGCGCGGAACTCAAATCTTCAATGTGCGCGTATTCGAAAGGTGAGATACGAGCTCTTCGGCTCTGCTTCGAGACCTCGACGAGAGCGATCGATTCGTCCAAAGATCAGCCGAATCGACTTCGATGTGACCGAGCTCGAGAATTTCAAAGTTTGGCGGGGACGTCCCGAACCGGCGGTCGATTTCCGCGCGGTACTCGACGGCGCCCGCGTAGTGGACCACGGCGAACGCGCCGTCGCGCGCGCGCCGCGCGTCGCAGAGGAACGTGTCCTCGCCGCCGAAGGCGTCGCGCAGCTTCGCCGACAGGGACCGGCCCTGGGCCTCGGCGCGCGCGGCCTCGACGGCGTCCGGGTCGCCCTCGAGGTCCTCGGACCGCTCCGCGCGCGTCGACGCGAGGAGGCACTCGTCGTCGACGGCCGCGAGGAGGCCGCGCTTCGCCGCCGACGCCGCGTCCGGGAGCGCCGAGTTGCGCCGCACCTTGGCCCTGGGCGGCGGGCCGGGGGCCCCCGCGAGCGGCATCGACGACCGGCGCCGCTTCGGCGCGGCCGCCGCCGCGGCCGCGCCCTCGATGAGCGCGAGGACGTCGGCGTTGTCCGGGAAGTCGACGTCGTCGAAGGGCACGCCCTCGGCGGCGTACTCCTCGCGCTCGAGCTCGAAGATGAAGTCGTTGAAGACGCTCTGGAGCTGCTCGTTCGCGTAGTTAATCAACAGCTGCTCGAGCGAGTTCACGCCGAAGACCTCGAAGCCGAAGATGTCCAACAAACCGATGGCCGACGCCCCGTCGGCGCCGGCGCCCGCGGCGAGGGCGCCGTTGATCTTCGCCACGAGGTCGTCGAAGGCGGCCGCGTAGACGGCCTTGAGGACCGAGTCGCGGTTCCGCGACGCGCCGCGCGGCCCGAAGCGGAGCGTCAGCGTGTCCTCCGCCGTGACGAGCTCGCGCTCGAGGCAGGCCCGCTCGAGGTCCGCCGGCGCCACGCCCAGCGCCGCGGCCGCCGCGGCGACGCGCGGCACCGTCGCCGGGTCGACGCGCGCGCCGTCGCCGTCCTTCAAAAAGCCCGCGCCCCCGAAGTGCAGCAGCCCCGCCACGATCCCAAAGGCGTCGTCGCGGTCCCCGGGCGCCAGCGCCGCGCCAAAGGCCGCCGACGCGTCGTCGTACGCGTCCGCGTCCCGGACGCCGTCGCGCCGCGAGTCGACGCCGCACGAGCTGCCGCAGACGCAGCACGACTCGACCGCGAGGTCGGTTTCGACGCCGCACCGCGCCAGGGCGAGGTAGAAGGCGTGGAAGCCCCGCTCGCCCTCGGTCTGCGTGACGACGCGGACCTTCTCCAACAGGAAGATGCGCACCTGGGCGGGAAAAGAGTGCGACATGTCCAACTTTGGAGGCTCATATCTCGGTCGATGTCCACTCGTTTCGGCTGATTTTTGGACGAGCGATCATCTCTCGGAGCGCTCTCGACGCGTGGATGCTATTTCCGGAACGCGCGCGCGCGGAACACTCACGTTGAAGCGAACTTGAATCACTCGTTTCCCGCCCCGATCCGCGCGCCCGCGGTCCGCAGCTTGCCCGCGCCGTCGAACTTGAGCGAGATCCACTTGCCGAAGCGGCTCGAGTTGTCGTTGCGCCGCGTCCGCGCGTTGCCGAAGCACTCCGTGAGCGGGTTCGTGCTCAATACTCTGGCCTCGATGCCCGCGGCGCCGACGGCCTCGAAGGACGTCGCGCCGGACGACACGCAGGCCAGGAAGCGCATGACGAACTTCGTCGTCTCCGTCTTGCCCGCGCCGGACTCGCCGGAGATGAGGATGGCCTGGTCCCGGGGCCCCGCGAGCGCGCCCAGCGCCGTGCGCCGCATCGCCCGGTACGCGGCGGCGGCGACGCCGTAGCAGTGGGGCGCGAGCGCCGACGCCGACTCCGCCGCGCGGTAGGCCTTGAGCGCGTCATCCCCATAAAGCCGCGGGAGCGGCTTGTAGGGGTTCACGGCCAGCAGGATCTGGCCCACGGCCGTGTAGATGACGCCCGCGGCCGCGCGCGCGCGGACGACGTCGAGGATCGCGGCCTCGTGGAGGTGCGTCAGCGCGATGAGGTCCGGCACGGCCAGCGGCTTCTCCGCGTTGCAGGGCTTGATCGCCGCGTCCAGCGCACCGGGACTCGCGAAGTCGCACTCCCAGAGGGCGTCGCTCCCCTCGAGGCGCACGCCGATGGCGACGACGCCGCCGGCGTCGGACCGGCGCTCGACGGTCCCGCGCTCCCATACCAAAGCTTCGTTCCCCGACGCCACCCAGCACCGGTCGCCGAGGAACGCCATCCGCCGGGCGCCGCCGCCGCTGGTGAACAAGAAGAGGAATGGAATGGGCCCGGGCAGCTTCCAGGGCGTTTCAGCTTCGACGGCAACCACTGCACGTACGGCTGTATCCACATGCCCGAAACCTGCTTCGACGTGGCTGCGCCGCATTGCGTGAGACGCCTTGCGTCCGCGCAAGCAAGCACCGGCAGCCATGCGCTTGCGCTGCTGCAGCGCCGACGTCGTGGACGATGTCGTGCTCACGGAACCCAGCGACGCAGCCGTCGGCGGCCAGCCCGTGAGCTGCGACCATCCGCCGGTCGAGCAGGAGAGCGACGCGCCGGCGGAGGACGACGCGCCGGAGGACAGCGCGCTCGTGACGAAGCGATGGCACGTCTACCCGTCGCACGTCGAAAGCGACCACAAGGCGACGAAGGCGGCGGAGCTCCTCGCGGCGCTGCGGGCGGAGCCCGGCTTCGACGAGTGGCGGTGGTATTTCGACGACGCGGCCGTGCTGCGCCGGTTCCTCACCGCGCGCGACGACAACGTCGCCAAGGCGAAGGCGCTCCTCCTGGACGCGCTCGCCTGGCGCGGGCGCCGGCGGCCGCACGTCATCGACTACGCGGAGATGGAGCGCGAGAGCCGTACGGGCAAGCTGCGCGTCGCCGAGTCGCTCGACCGCTGGGGCCGGCCCGTCGTCGTCTTCGACAACACGGTGCAGAACACGAAGGACAGCGCCGCCCAGCTCCGGTGCCTCGCCTTCGTGCTCGAGCACGCCCTGCGGCGCGTCGACGGGACCCGAGTCTCGAAGTACGTCATCTTCATGCACCTCTCCGACTTCTCGCTCTTCAACAACCCGCCGTGGTCCGTGACCCGCGAGACCATGCTCATGCTCATGTCCTGCTTCGCCGAGTGCTGCGGCCACATCGTCGTCCACGGCGCGCCGCGCGTCTTCCGGGGCGTCTTCGCCGCCGTGAAGCCGCTGATCGATCCGAAGACGGCGACGAAGATCGTCTTCGTGTCGCCGGGCGACGCCGAGGAGCCGATCATGCGCGACCTCGTCGGCGACGACTGGCGCGCGCTGACGGGCGCGGGGCTCGCCCGCGAGACGCCCGCGTCGAGCCCGGGCTACCGCCACGGCCGGTGCTGGCCGCGCGCGCTCGCGGCGGACGAGGCGTGGCGGAAGCGCACGGGCAACGCGGGGCCGCTCCGCCACACCGTCGTCAACGGGCCCGCGGACGCCGCCGCGCCCGCGGAGGCGGCGGCCGGCGAGGCGCGGGCGCCGGCCCGGCCGTCCGACGACGACGAACCGAAGGCGCCGCCGCCGCGGTCGCGGTCGCGGACGCTCGAGCCCGCGGAGCGCGTCTTCGGCCTCCACCCGCTCGTCGAGCGCGCCCTCGTCCTCGCGCTCGCCTTCTGCTGCGCGCGCGTCGTGACGCTGCTCCACGCGTTGGTGGAGGTGTAACGTGGGAGTTTCGATTGCACAGTGCAGTGCTCCGTGCAGTGCTCGATGATCTCGATTCTCGCGGCCTGCGCATGCGCAGCTGCGCCAGAGTGGTCGGCTGCAGGAGAGCGCCGCCTCTTTAGCGGCAGCATGCAATGGTGGACTACGCCGATTCGACAACATCGACACGAGCGGCAGCGAGGACGACTGGACTGACTGCGACGATGGCGAGGCCGATGCGGAGACCGTCGAGGAAGAGCCGCCGCCGCCGACGATCTCCGGTCGTCAGCAGGCGGAAGAGGTCGAGATCATGATCAAGAACTTCGTCTTCTGCGGCATGCAGGGCGACGCCGACGCCTACGTCGAGTTCCTGACGTTGCTGCCGCGGCTCGACGTCGCGTGGCGGGCCGCGTGGCGCGCGCGCGGCGGGCTGGACGCGCTCGCCGACGACCCGCGCGACGACGAGGCCGGCGGGGTCCTGGATAAGAACCAGTACCCCGCGCTCTGCGCGGCGGCGATGGAAGGCCAACTCGAGTGCGTGCGCCTCCTGCTCGATCCCGCGCGCGGCGGCGGCGTCGGGATCGCGCCGGCGTCGACGGACGTCTGCACGATGCACCGCGGACGCGATCGACGCGACCCGCTCACGCCGAGGTATCCACCGCTCGTCGTCGCGGCCATCGAGGGCCACGCGGACGTGATCGACGCGCTCCTCGACCACGGCGTCGACGTCGACCAGCGGTCGTCGGAGCCTTGCGCCGTCACGGCGTTGCACCTCGCGGCGCGCTACGCGCGCCTCGCGGCGGTCCGGGCGCTCCTGCGCCGCGGCGCGGACGTGACCCTGCGGGATCACCGCCCCCGCGCGACTGATTCGCTGCGCGATGGTCCCGGGCTCGGTACGTCGGGCGGCCCCGACGTCGGCGAGACGCCGCTGCAGTACGTCCTCCACGCGCGGTCCCGGCCCGGCGAGGAGGACGCGGGCTCGGTCATCGAGACGCTGGCCGTGCCGCCGGCGGGCGCGCCGGACGACCGCGGGGCCGTCGCGCGCGCGCTCCTCGACGCCGGCGCGGATCCGCGCGAGCCCGCCGCGCGGGGGGAGAAGGGCGTCGACTCGCTCGTCGGCCAGGCCGCCGCCTGGGGGCTCGCGGGCCTCTTCGGCGCGCTCGCGCGCGGCGCAGATGGCGCATTCTCGTACGCGGTCCTGGGCGACCCCGCGGCGGCGCCCGCGGCGCCGGAGCGCAAGCGCTTCGACGAGCTGCGGAAATTGGCGCGATTTCTGGCGGACCGCGCCAAATTCATGGTCGAGGAGGACGTCGAGATGCGGCGCGAGGAACAGGAGGACTGGGACGAGGCAGCGAACGGGCCCTACCCCGCGGAGGCCGACGAGGACGACCTCATGCGCGCGCGCGACCGCGACGACGCCGAGGCGATCGTTGCGGTCCTCGCCGACTTCGACGTCTTCGCCCGGGCGCGCGAGGTCGCGCGGCGCTACGCGCTCACGCGCGGCCTGAGCCTCGTGCGCGCGGGCCGCGCGGAGGTCGCGGACGGCGGCGACGAGCGCCTCGCGCGCGGCGTCCGCCTCCTCGCCCGCGTCGGCAGCTGCGGCGCGACCGGCGAGCGCTTCGCCGCGCGCGCGCTCGAGGACTTCGTCCGCGGTCCGCGGCCCAAGAAGGCCGCGCGCAAGTCCACGGGCGGCAAGGCCCCGCGCAAGCAGCTCGCCACCAAGGCCGCGCGCCGCGCGCGCCCCCCGTGGACGCCCCCCATGGACGCCCCCCGTGACGCGCGTTAGGCGCCTAGGGGTCCGCGGGCGCCTCCGCGAGGAGCATCGCCGGGTCGACGGCCGCCTTGATCTCGTCGGGGATCTGGATGTTGTACTGCGACGGCCGTCGCGCGCTGCGCTGCGACTTGGGCGCGTCGCCGGCGGCGCCGTTGCCGACCTCGAGGTGCTTGACGAGCGCGGACGGCCGCCGCGACGTCGGGTCGTGGTCCGGGTCGTTGTTGTACATCTGGAGCGCGCTCATGCAGCGCAGCACGCTCGGGTTCTCGAAGATGACGCTCTTGAGCTCGCCCATGTCGAGCTTGCCGTCGCCCGAGTCGTCGAGCTCGTCGAGGATCTTCACCGCGTGCGTCGACAGCGACTCCGCGCCGGCCTTCATCTCGTCGAGGAAGCGCTGGATCTCGTTCATGGTCACGACGCCCCGGCTCTCCGTCGACGTCGAGTCGTTGACGAGCGCGGAGATGAGGTGCGCCTTGAACTTCGTGTCGACGCCCGCGCACGCGCGCGCGAGCACGGCCCAGGGCATGCGGATGTTGCACTTCGGCGGCGCGGCGAGGGCCCGCGTCGACGCGTCGGCGGCGTCCGCCGCCGGGTCCCGGGCCTGGAGCTCCGCGAAGTACGCGAAGACCTCCGCGGCGTCGTCGCGGTGCTTCGAGATCGCCTCGCCGAAGATCTTCTCGACGGCGTACCAGAACTTGTCGAACTCCATCTGGAACAGGTCGCCCGTCTGCGTGTACATCAGGAGGTCGGCCCGCAGGTCCATGAACATCTGGACGATGACGACGTCCGCGTCCGCGCGGCTCTCCGCCCTCGCGCGCGCGCGCGCGGCCTCGCGCATGGTCTTCGACAGGGGCACGAGCCGCTCCGTCTTGATGGACGCGGGCACGGGCGGCAACGAGGACCACAGCAAGTCCCGGTAGACCTTGTCCCGCTGGATGGACTGGATGAACTCCGCGTCCGAGACCTCGCCGTCGCCGTCGACGTCCAGGCTCTTCGTCTTCTCGCACGCGTAGCGGTGCAGGTCGATGAGGTCGTCGTGCGCCGTCTCGACGAGCTCGCAGATCTCCCAGAGCTCCACGACGCCGTCGCCGTTCTTGTCGAAGAGGCTGAAGATGAACTCCAAAATGTTCTCGTTCTCGTCCGGGTCCGGCCCCGAGTGCGACGCCTTCACGGAGACGATGCGCGCCAGGCCCGTCGCGAACTCGACGAAGTCGACGACGCCGTTGCCATCCGCATCGAACACCTTGGTGATCCGCGTCAGCAGGCGGCCGTCCTTGAGCGCGGGAAAGCGCGCGAGCAGCACGGACTTCAGGCGGCCGATGGACATCGTGTAGCCCATCTCGGGGTGCACGAACTTGCCCGTCTTGGCATCGAGGTGGTGGGGCTCGTGCTTGTTCGCGAGGGCGTAGGCGAACTCGGTCCGTAGCGTCGAGAGGTCCTTGTAGGACATGCCCGTCTCCTGGGCAGCACAAGAGAGATTCAACGTCGCTTCAACGTGAGTGTTCCGCGCGCGCGCGTTCCGAAAAAGCATCCACGCGTCGAGGCCGTTCCGAGAGATGATCGCTCGTCCAAAAATCAGCCAAAACGAGTGGAAAACGGCCGAGATATGAGCCTTTGAAGTTGGGAATTTCGCTCTCTTTTGCTGCCCTGCCAATTTCGTCCATGAGCTCCTGGAGGATCTTCTGCGACGCGACGAGGTTCACCCGCGCCATGTACGCGTCGAAGTCCTCCTGCCGCTGCGCGTCGCTGACCTCGTAGGAGCCCGTCTCGGACCTAGCGAACGCGTCGGTGGCGATCGTCCGTCGTTTCCCCGCGCTCTCGGAAAGCGTCGCGGCCGCGGGACGCCGCCTCGGACCGCCGCCGCTCCATGGTCTTCGTGTACTCCTTCTCGCGCGCCGCGTGGGCCTCCTGGACGGAGTAGCGCTTCTGGCACCGCTCCTGGCGCGCGAGCGACCGCACGGGGTCGAGCCGCTTCGCCGACTTCTTCTTCGTCATCTTGAATTTCGGCCGCGTCGCGGACCCCGGCCGCGACTTGCGGCCCGGTGCCTCCTCGTCCGCGTCGGGGCCCTCCTCGATGGCGTGGACGACGATGGCCCGCTTGTTGCGCCAGACGAACCAGAACGCGTCCTTGTCCAGCGGCGTCCCGTCGCGGTCGTAGCAGCCCTTGACGATGTCCGCCACGTCGAGGCGCGGCGACATGGGCGCCGACGCGAGCTGCTCGCCGACCTGCTCGCGCGTCTCCGGCCGCTTCGTGAGGCCGAGCGCGTGGATCGATTTCACGAGGGCCGCCATGAGCGGCGCCATCCGCTCCGGCGTCACGACGCCGCCCTGCTCGTACATGGAGAAGATCACGTCGGCCTTGTGCTGGGGGTCGCCGGCGCCGAGCAGGGCCATGAGCACGAAGGCGACGTCCGTGGGCGCCTTGGCCTTGCGGTCTTGGACGTAGCGCTGGAGCCTCGAGAACTCGTCCATGGGTAGAGACACGAAGTGGCCCCCGGCGACGATGATCGTGTACTCGTTGAAGATCTCGAACCAGTCGCCGCGGCTCACCTCGGCGGGCTTGCCCAGCGCTTCCCAGCGCTCGTGGGCCAGCGTCATGGCCTCGACGCACCACTCGCCGTAGGTCGCGATCCAGCTCGCGTTGGCGCCGCCGTCGAATTCCTGCGCCTGGCGGATGAGGGCGCCGGCGCCCATGGTCTCTGGAAGCTGCTCCCGAGCACGTTTCCTGCGCGCTACTAAGCAAAGGCTGCCCGGCACATCCCGGAGCCCGAGGCGGCGCTGCTACAGAAAATATCGACATCAACATTGACATCGATCGGAATTTCAAGTTCGAGCTCGAGGTGGGCCTCGACTCTCGGCGCTCCGTCGCAACCCCAGACCGGGCGCTGCCGCAACGATCACACCGCTGCAACCGCGCCGCAGCGCGCAAACAAGATGGCCGCGCTCACGGCCGACGTCCGCGACGCCGTGCGCAAGATCGTCGCGGAGAGCGACGCGGAGACGATGACCATGCGCGGCGTGCGCGTGCAGCTCGAGGACGCGCTCGGCGTCGTCGTCGACAAGAAGGAGCTCAAGGCCTTCGTCGCGAAGCTCGTCGCCGGCGACGACGCGGGCGAGGAGGAGGCGAAGGACGCGCGCATCGTCGCACTAACGGCGCTGGGCCGCGCGGTCAAGTTCGGGCCGAGCCTCTTCAAGGGCCTCAAGGACATGGCCGACGACGACGCGCGCGCGGCGGCGATGAAGGCGCGCTTCGAGGACAAGGGCGTCGAGTTCGCCGGCGCGGCGCCGACGGCGAAGGAGATCAAGACGCACCGCGCGCGGAAGGAGCGCGAGGAGGACCTCGCGGGCATCGACCAGTCGCTGATCATCGAGGGCAAGCGGCCGCGCCGCGCCGCCGCGCCGTCGCCCGCGCCCGCGCGGCCCGGCGCCGTCGAGGCCGACGACGACGAGGAGGCCGAGTTCTTCTGAAGGCGCCAAAAAAAAGACCAAAGTAAGGGAGCCCTGTTGTTGTATTGCGACGTCGCGACCATAGTTCGCAGACGCCCTCCTAGACCGCGAGGCGCGGCGCGAGGGAGAGAGACGCAGCGCCCACGCGCGCAGCCATCGTTGACGGCTCTTCTGGCCGCGCCGCGTGTAGGATCTCATCCGCTCAGCTCCCCACTCGACTCGCTGTCAAACACCACCACCCTCTTGCAAAAATGGCCAACCCCGTTGTGTTCTTCGACATGTGCGCAGCCAGCGCCCGTCCCAACCCACCCCTCGGTCCCCCGGAACCGTCGCTGGGGCCCCCGGCGCGCGCGCGCGCGCGAGCGGGCGTCGGCGATTCGCCGAAGCGAGTGTACTCGTGCGTCGTAGGGAAATTGGCGGCGCCAAGGCCGGCCGCATCGAGATGACGCTCCGCGCGGACGTCGTCCCCAAGACCGCGGAGAACTTCCGCGCGCTCTGCACGGGCGAGAAGGGCGCGCGCCCGGCGTCCCGGGGACGCCGCGCGGAAGGATCTCGGAACGCGCCGCGCGCGCCTTCCCTCGACGACGCGCGCCGCAGGCTTCGGCTACGCCGGCTCGTCCTTCCACCGCGTCATCACGCAGTTCATGTGCCAGGGCGGCGACTTCACGAACCACAACGGCACGGGCGGCAAGTCGATCTACGGCGCCAAGTTCGCCGACGAGAACTTCACGCTCAAGCACACGGGCGCGGGCATCCTCTCCATGGCCAACGCCGGCCCCGGCACCAACGGCTCGCAGTTCTTCCTCTGCACCGTCAAGACCGACTGGCTCGACGGCAAGCACGTCGTCTTCGGCTCCGTGACCAAGGGCATGGAGGTCGTCCAGGCCGTCGAGGCCGTCGGCTCCCAGCAGGGCAAGACGTCCAAGCCCGTCGTCATCGCCGCCTGCGGCCAGCTCTAAGCGCCGACCGCCGCGCGGCGGCCGGCCCCGCGCCGCGCCGCCGCCGCGACCGCCGACGCCAAGACGACCCCGGACAAGGTACACGGAGGGGAACGCGCGCGAGCGCCCCGGCGTAACGCGCACGCTCTCGCAAGAGAGGTCCCCAGTCTCCACTCTCTCTAGCTAGCCGTTATTCCCCCGCGAGAACGAGACGAAGGACGTCCAGAAGAAGGACGCGGCCGTCGTGACGGGCACGCGCAGCCAGAGGGGCGAGAAGGCGAAGTTGACGGTCTGCACGGGCACCCAGAGCGCGAGGATCGACGGGACGTCCTCGGCGAAGTTCCGCCGGAACTTGCGCAGCCCGTCGAGCGGCGCGCCGCCGTCGTAGAGCGTCTGGACCGTGTAGAAGCAGGAGAAGTAGAGGATGCAGTTGTTGCCGAGATTCTCGATGGCGACTTGGCCCGCGACGGCGCGCAGCCCGGCGGCGTCTCGCAGCTTGTCGCGCAGCGGCGCCGCGGCGAAGCGCTCGACGTTCGGGAACACGCGCGGAAAGATCTTGACGAAGAGCGTGTATTGCCAGCAGCCCAGGAACAGGAAGCCGAAGGTCGAGAACACGGCCGTGCGCTTCGCGTCGATGGTGTCGCGACCCTCGACCTTGCACTGCACGAGGACGTCGCAGGTCGCCGTTTTGACCTACGTTCAGGGGCTGTCGTCGTTCGCATGAGAAATGTGGGGCTTATGCAACGTACGCACGCGCCGCCGCTGCCGAAGAGGAAGGGGTGCTCGCGACCAAAGGCCTGGACGGCGCGACCAAAGGCCTGAACGTTCATCGTGAGTTGCGATCGCCCGACCTAGGAGCTGCCCATTGTAGCTCTCTGCTGGCTCTATGCAGCCCCATTGGTCGGACAAATGATCGAGCCCGCCGGGCTAAAAACTAAAAAAAGCAACTCGACCGATTCCTCGAAAAAGCAACTCAAACAATCAGGCTGCGAGCAGCCCTTTTGCAGCGTCGATGGACGAAGTTCTCGTCTTCTCCAGCCCGTAGCTCGACGCAGGCGCAGAGTTGCGCAACGATCCCCGCGGCTGCGAGGACCGGAACCCTGTCGCGGACACATTCCCCGCGGGATGTCACTCCCGAGGATTGCGTCGCATCGCGCGCGGGGCGTCCCAAGGGGTCGGAAGAGGGTTTTCGGCGTCCCCCGCACCCTTTTCGACCGTGTTCGAGCGCACGGAGCATCGGGAATCGTTCGTCTATGTACCGCGGGCGTCCCATTTGATCCGCTCGGCCATCGACGTCGAAAACA